TTTCTTCATCACCAAGGCTCTTGCTCATCTGTTGTTTCATGAAATTCTTCTGTGTCTGCCAATTCCTTTTGATACAGTGACTCAGTATATTCTTCCCATCTTTTTTCAATACTTCCTGGATTATTTAATATTGTGCTTAAAGCATCCTTGATTATAGCAACTCAAGGTTTGAATTTGTTCTTCCGTTCCTTGAGCTTAAGAAACGCTGAGCGAGTTCGGCCCTTTTGATTTTCTGACTCCAACTCCTTGCACATTTCATTGTAACATTTTACTTTGTCATCCCCTCCTGCCTTTTGAAATCTTCTATTCAACTCTTTAGTCTCTTGAATTCTTCCTTCTGCTTTGACTTCTCTGCACTCCAGTGCAATTTTCAGAGTCTCTTCTGACATCCATTTTGGTCTTTGCAATGATCATTTTGCACTCTTCCTGGAGGGAATATAAATTATGAAAAGGCAACTGAAAAAAAATACCCAAACCCTTTGTAACAATAGCATGTTAAAAGAGCATCAGATAAGAGGAACTGACAAAGGAGAATGAGGGATTATCAAAGACAGAAAGAATCTTAAGAAAACTGTTACATGTAGCTTATGTTAAGAATTTTGAGAAAGAAAGTGATCAGAAGCATCCAGTGCTTCTTGGAAGATGAAAACTAAAAGTTATGTCTTAGATTGAAAACTAAAAATAGAATCTGGGGTTTGGAAATGTATGAGTGATTGGTGACCCAAGTAAGAGAGAACCTTTCCATCTATGTAAGTAAGATTGAATAGCAAATTGTAATAGATTCAGAAGAGGGTGAATGTTCCAAAAGCTTCACTATTGTCTTAGGAAGTTTACAATTAAGGAAAAACAAGGAAGTAATAGAGCACTCTGGTGGCACAGAGAATTGCACTGCTAACCCAACGAACAGCTCTTCCTCTCTGATGGTTCAAATCTACCGGTGGCTCCTCTAGAGAAAGAAGGGCAATCTCCTCCCATTTGGTTTAAAGCCTCAGAAACTCAGTGGCGGATCAGCTACATGATCTGAATGAGGGTTGTAAGAAATTAATGATTATGTACGGGCTTGGAAGCATTTCTTTTTTTTTCTTGAAGGTGTCTGCGTGGTGAGAAGGATGAATCAGAGAAGAATGAATGTTTAAAGATACAGGAGGAAAAATGGAGATGGGAGTGTGTGAAGTGAGAATCAGGGATGATATAAGTAAGCTTGGCAGGAAATTGAACTATATCACAATTTAGCAAAAGTTTTTATATACTAGAAAGATTTTTATTTAAATTATTTCAAGACTATTTCATATCTATTTGGGGACTTCCAAGCAAATATTTTATGTCTTAAAATCAGGTATTAATTATAAAAAATATTTAATCTTGAAATATCTGCCTTATTTTAATTTTGGAGCTAATTTTCCAACTACAAAAAAATTGGTAAAAGTTCTCATACACACAAAAATATTTTTGCTCAACATAGTCATAATCTAATATTAAAACTTTAAAGTTTTACAGAATGCATTCTCCTTTTCTTTTCCCCTTTTTGTTGTTATTATGTGCTGTTGAGTCGCCTGTGACTCATAGTGATCCTATATATAACAACCCTTTTAGGGGAAAGAACCAATAACATACATCAAACAAATCCAAAAACTTTTCTTACTGTGGCCGCCATCGAGATTTACAAGAATGTCTTAGTTATCCACTGCTGCTATAGCAGAAATACCACACATGGATAGCTTTAACTAATATATTTCCCCACAGTTTTGGGTGACCTTAATGCTGCACTAGGGAGCTCTGGTGTCCTTGTCCAGAGGTGGTTACGCCACTAACCCACAGCCAGGCCAGGCCTCTCCAGAGTTTATAATGGTTCCAGCTTCATGGCAATAAGCTCTTTTTTTGTGGTGTGGTTTGGCTTGGTTTGTTTGTAATGGCTGAGTGCAGAACACCAGCTCCAGGGGAAGATTTTGATGTTTTTGGCTTGAGCACAAAGTCCTTGTCTCATTTCAGTTTCTGTCCCTGGACTCCTTGATGACCTTCAGGCAGCATAGCATGTTTCTTCAGCTGTCTCTGTGTTTTCGGCTCATTGTATAATCTGCTCTTGTGTATGTCTCAAAAGATACTGAAAATATGCCTACACTAGTACTACCTTATTAATACAACAAAGAAAGCCCATTCACAAAATTATAACTACAGGTATAGACTTATAACATGTATTCGGAGAATACAATCAACAACACTAGAGATCTAAAGGAGAAAGTTCTAGAACTTTCTGAGAAATTCAGGGAAATTTATTGGACTGAAAGTTAGCTAAGCCTCAAAAGCAAGTATTTGTTAACAAATATTTTTTTCTTTATACAAGTACACATTTTTTTTAAAGGCTCTTCAATTCTAGATCTAGAGTTCTGCATTCAAACAAAATATTTCGGTATTCTAGAACTTTAGGACTTTCTAGTAAAGCCATCAATTTGCAATATATTGCTTAGTGAGAGTCTCAATATTTGGTAATACAGTCAGAGGGAGAAGGACTTTCTATAAAGCCATCAATTTGTAATATATTGCTTAGAGAGAGTCTCAATATTTGGTAATACAGTCAGAGGGAGATGAGTCAGTTATCTTGCCTGGATGTACTCAGGGAGAGAGAGACAGAGAGAGAAAGAGAAGTGTGTGTGTGAAAAAGAGAGATGATTTTCTTTGATATTGATCTAAAATTTGGAATTGCCATTGTTGAGCCTCTAGAGCATTTCACCATACTATTTATAACAATTCATATTAGGGAACATGTGTTTTAAGAAGTACTCAGTCTTCATAAGCAGTGTTGTTGTGTACGGTCGAGTCGGAACTGACCCATAGCTGACCCTCCAATGAGTTTTTAGAGGCAGTTAATCACACAGAGGAAATTGCTTATCCTTATCCTGTGGATTAGAACCGCATGCCTTCTGGATTCTAGTATAGCTCCGTGCCACTAGGCCACCAGAGCTCCCTGTACTGTAAAGTAAGCAGTGTAGTCTCATGAATAAATATGAATTTGATATTGCAGTTGTTATATGCTGAAGTAATTCTGTGATCCAGCTAGTTAAATAATTTCTCTTAAGGATTCTGCTAACTTTATTTCAATTTACCAGTAAAAAAATCTAATGTAGCCCATTAACTGTTTCATTTTTTCCAAGTAATCTTCCTCTTTGAGGCATCAACTGGAAAACCATTATGTGATGGGAAACTTCTTTCTCATAAGGTAATGGACCTTAGATATTCCTGTGATAGAGAGTCATTATGTAGTTATTTCTTTTTAAATTAATATTTCCATTTTATGGAAGAAGATGCAGAAATTCTTTCTATACTTAAAGACCATTCTACTTGAATATTTTTGCCTAAGACTATTATAATTAAAGACTACACACTGGGTAAATGCTGTAATAGGAAATGATATATACAAATTAATTTAATAAAGGAACCAATTTAGATCTATTATCTAGGCTGTTTACTGCTTTTAAATAGATTGTTCTATCTATATTGAACTGTTAGCAGCTATAATATAGACTATATTAATATAGATAAGAATATAAAAATATGTTTGCATTTCTAAACATCTTGTAATTTTTAGTTAAGTTGTGCTTAATCAGCATTTTATAACCAGCATTTTTTTAAAAAATTAGGTTTAGATAGTTGTTAAACTGTAAATATTTATTTTTTTAATAGAAATTAAAAAAGAGTGTATTGGAAATGTTGGTTTCTGATTTTTTTAATCTTAAATAAGAGTACATTATATTTACTTATTCTTTAAGTAAGTTATACACTGTTGTTGTTGTTGTTATGTGCTATTGAGTCTTCTGGGACTCATAGCGACAACAGCCCTAAACCCTGCCCTATCCTGTGCCAATGTCACTGTCTCTGACACACCTACCCCCATAACCCCTGTCACTGAATCCATCTCATTGAGGGTCTTCTTCTCCTACACTGTCCCTTCACCCTCCCAAGCGTGATGTCCCTCTCCAAGGATTAGTCCCTTCTTGCAACATGTCCATAGTATGTCAAACAAAACTTCAGAATCCTTGCCTCCAAGGAGCAGCCTGGCTTCACCCTCTCCAGGACAAACTTCTTCGTTTTCTTAGCAGTCCATGGTATATTCAATACTCGACTCCAACACCACAGCTCAAAGGCATCAATTCTCCTATCATCCCTAGTCATTGTCCAGCTCTCTGATGCATAGCAAGTGATTGCAAAGACCGTGGCATGTATCAGGTGCACCTTAGTCTCCAGACTGACATCATTGCTCTTCAGCACTTTAGAGAAGTCTCTAACCACAGACTTTCCTATCACACTATATCTATTCATTTCCTGGCTGCTGGTGCCAAGAGTTTTGACTATGGAGCCAAGCAAACTGAAACTGTTAACTATCTCAATCTTTTTACCATCCGTACTGATGCTGCCAGTTGGCCCAGTGGTGAGAATCTTTGTTTTCTTCATAGTGAGCCTCAATCCATACTGAAGACGGCAGTTCCTAATCTTCCACAGTGCTTCAGGTCCTACTTGTAATTTTATTATTTACTTCTAGCCTAGTATCATTCCAAATTATATTATTTTTTAATTATTTTAAATTTGAATAATAAATATGTTCATGTGGTTCGGAAATCATAAAGCATGAGCAAACATACAATAAAAAATATACTTTTTCCTGGTATTACCATTTCTATCAAATGAACAACTTGTTAATTTCTCATGTTTTCTAGTTATTTTTGGTGCATATACAAACAAAACATTTTTTTTCCCTCTTACACAAATACAGAGCTCTGTACCTTTGTTTTATTGTTTTATATTTTCCCATACAAACTATCTATTTTGGAGATTTACCATGTCAATACCTGAACTATTTACCCTGACCTTCTGCTTCCAACTTCTTCTTCCCCCAGCAGTCTAATAGTATATGCATATATAATTTATTTACCTGCCCCCAGCTGATGATCATTTTTTGTTGTTAAGTATTGCTGAGATGGTTATTCTTGCCTATATAGTTTACTGCACATGTACTAGTATATCTGTCGGATAAATACTTAAAATATTGTTTCTGGGTAAAAATAATCAGATTATTTTAATAAATATTGTCAAATTAACTTCAAAGAAATGTTATCTTTTTTTATTAAATATGACATTCCTGTTTTTCTGTTGTCATCATTGTTATGTGCCATTAAGTCACCTGTGACCTATAATGACCCTATGTACAGCAGTCCTGAGCCAGTCTCACTGATTCTGATATATCTATCCCCATTGCTCTTGTTACTGTATCCATCCATCTCCTCTGGGGTCTTCCTCTCCTGCACTGTCCCTCCACTGTTCTGAGTATGATGTCCTTCTCCAGTGACCAGTCCCTCCTGGCCACATGCCCAAATTATGTAAGGTGGAGCTTCAAAATCCTTGCTTCCAAGGAGAAACTTGGTCTATGATAGGTTCAAGACTCTTCTCTCTAGCACCACAGCTCGAAGGCATCAATTCTTTCATCATTAGTCATTATCCAGCTCTCTGATGCACAGCAAGTAATTGCAAAGACCATGGCTTGGATAAGGCACACCTTAACCTCTAGACTGACGTTTTTTCTTCTCAGTACTCTGGAGGGATTCCTGACAGTAGATTTTCCCAAAGCAATTCTTTTGATTTCCTGACTGCTGGTGCAGTTGATTGTGGAGCTGAGAAAGCTGTAATTGTTAACAACCTCAATCTCTTCTCCATCTATCATGGTGCTGCCAATTGGCATGGATCACAACAAATTGTGTATAACCTTGAGAAAATGGAATCCCAGAACACTTGATTGTGCTTATGCAAAACCTGTACTTGGACCACCAGAAAGCAGTACTCAGAACAGAGCAAGGAAACACTTCATGGTTCAAAATCAGGAAAGAAGTGCGTCAAGGAATACAAGCTGTCTCCATACCTTTTCAGTTTCTATGCAGAACAGGTCATTCGGGAAGCTAGGCTTTATGAGGAGGAACATGGCATCAGAATTGGAGGAAGACTCATCAACAACCTACATTATGCAGATGACACAGTCTTTAATCTTTTGTAACGAGTGCTTCAGAACATCTTTAGTTTTAGCAAGCAAGGTTGTGGTTGTCATCTGCATAAAGTAGGTTGTTGATACATCCCTGTTGTTAAGTGCAATCGAGTCAAGGATGACTCATAGCTACTTTATGAACCCTGTCCTAGTCTGTGCCATTCTCATCATCTCTTACATTGTTGCAGTCACTGTTAGTCCATCTCACTGAGGCTCTTCCTCTCTTTTGCTGACCTTCCAGGAATAACCCCTTCTGGCAACATGCTCAAAATATGTGAGATGAAGCTTTGCCATCCTTGCCTCTCAGGAACACTTTGGTAGCACCTTTCCTAAGACATATAGGTTTGTTCTTTTCTCAGTCCATGGAATATTCAGTACTATTCTCTAACACCAGAACTCAAAGGCACCGTTTTTCTTCTGTCATCCCTATCCATTGTTTATGGTTAACATTGAGAAGAATGAGAATCCCAGAACATTCAATCATATTCATATGAAAGCTGTACTTAGACCAAGAAGCTGTTGTCCAAACACAGCAAGAGTTTAAGAAAGGTGTGCATCAAGGCTTTATCCTTTTTCCATACCTATTCAGTCTATTTGCTGAAAAAATCATCCAAGACAGTGTACTCTGTGAAGAAATATGTGGTATCAGGTTAGGAAGAAGACTCAATTCAACAGCAGCCTTCATTATGAAGATGACACAACCTTGCATACTCCATCTGTGAAAAGAGAAGCTGGAGAAGCTCAGTATAATCAATCAGAATGGCAGGAGCCAAATGCAAGTTCACACTGAAACTGAAGAAAATGAAAGCAAATCTGCAAATTCTAAAAATATTATCTTTAGTACATATGCTTGGTTCTGCTAAAAAATTTGCTTATATAATCTTGATTTTAAATTACTAAAATGGAGAGGTTATAGGAAAACTGTAGTCTTAATACAGATTAAAGCCCATCAGTATGTTGCCTACAAGAGACACATCTGAAAAAGGAAGACAAAGACAGGCTTAAAATCAAAGGCTGGGAATAAATATACGAAGCAAATGGCAACCTCAAAAAGCAGGAGTGGCAATACTAATCTCTTTTAAAATAGATTTCAGAATGAAAAACACCACTGAAGAAAAGGAAGGTTATTACATAAGGATTAAAGGCACAATCGATCAAGAAGACATAACCTTGGTCAGTATTTAGGCACAAAATGATAGACCTGCAAAATACATAAAACAACAGTTAATAGAATTGGAGAAATAGAGAGCACCACAATAGTTGTAGATTTCAATACACCACTATCACAAAAAGATAGGTCAACTCCAAAAAAACTCAACAAAGATGCAGTCAGTTTGAATTCTGTGTATTTCCTCTGATGAGCTCCACATATATAGTTGCCATTTCTGGCTATGTATTTTTTTTTTCAAATATTTGCAACAAATAAGGCATTGATCATATAAAATTCTTATATGCAGTTTTCTTAGTCATTTCTGTCACCAAGGCCTTATTTTCCAACTACTAATTCTTGGCTTCCAGTGTTTGTATTCCAATCATCAGTGATTATCATTGCACTTTAATTGCATGCTTCATTAATTGTAGACTGCAGACATTTATTTGTTTAGCAAAGTTTTTATTTTATACTGATTTACTTACAAAGTTCATATACATTGTTTTCCACACCCAATCTTTCCCCTTTACTTTACCCACCCTTCTCTCTACCCATCAAATAGTGTGCCCGTATGATTAAGCACTCACCCCCCCGCCCCATCCTCACCCTTCCATTTCCCCTCACCTCGTCTTTTTCTGTATCTGGTCAAGTAACCCTATATCAACATATTTCTTCTGGTTTTCTCTATCTGGGGTATTCATTGGGTCTGCATTTTTAGGAGAAGGGTTATTTTGTTTCTTCATAACAGCTGATATGGATTACTACTTTCTTGACATTATGGAAGTCTTTTCTCAGTAGATACTAGGCTGTTATAAGTATAAATTTTCCCAGGGTATACAGCAATATTTTGTGAAGCAACTATATGACAGCAGTGTTTTCCCCAAAGTACCTGAGTGAGCAAGGAGGCATCCTGTTGTCCCTTCTGCAGGTGGCTTCTTGCCTCCATTGAGGTGCCTAGGACCCCCCTGTTGCTTGAGTTAAGGGATCCCACATGGTCAAGCATGACAGCAGGTTTTTTCCCAGAGTACCTGAGATAATGGGTCCTGTGTAGTCAAGCTAGACTGCAGTTTCCCCCCCAAATAATTGTGGGAGCAGTGCAAGTAGCTCTGTCCAGAGCTCTTTCCTGCCATCCCAATTAGTGAGTTTTTCAAGGTGCATTTTTCCAAGTGGGCTTGAAATGAAAGTGACTTAAGCTTTAATCATTTTTTCTTAAGTGTAATAACTTTTCCAGGACGCTTTCCCTGATAGTATAAGCATAGAGGTGACTTCTTCCTTATCTCCTAGCTTCTCAATTAGAGTTTATACACAGATACACACACACACACACACACACACACACACACACGCAAATCTTCGTTATAATACAGAAGATGACTTTTAAATTTGATATCTCATAAAGTGGAATCTTGGTTCTATAAGGAACATTAAAAAAAATCACCCAATACAAATTTTACAACCAAGGCTCAAGATCTTCCCAATTGAGTAACAGAGCCAAACAAAAACTTTTCTCTGTCTTTTATTAAATGGATGTTAATTTCTTTATGAAAAGAGAGGAAGTTTTAAAGGGCATTAAGCTGCCTCCACACCCCAGTGCAAAGAGCAATCTGGGAGAACAGAGCCAAAGTGCAGATAGTAGAGCAGGCCCAGAGAGCTATGGGATGGCTGTGCTGCATCAAGAGGCAGAGAGCTGTGGTAGAGTCGTGCTGCATGAGCAGACCCAGAGACATGTGGGATGGTGGTGCTACATGAGCAGATCCAGAGATGTGAAAGGGTCATGCTGCATGATTAGACCCACTTCCACCAGTTAGGATTTTCAGCCTCAGAAACACAGTGGAGGGTTACTGGGAGTTGAATGAACTTGATGGCTGTGGGTTTGGTTCAATTAGTAAAGTAATAAATAAATGTTGTTATGTGTGATGTAACTGGAAACAACTCACAGATGAGCCTCCAGTTCATTTTCAGAGGCTGTAAATCGCACAGGATGAGAGTACCCCTCAAATAAGCCAAAAATATGTTGTAGGAAGAGCACTCCTCTCGAAGTCAGAAGCCTGGGTTTTGAGTTCTTGATAAGCTCGTTACTAGATATTTTTCAGCAAAATCACTTCTGTAGGCGTAATACAACCTACATCATAGGATTGTGCCCTATTTTACAGGAAATGAATATGAAAGAACCGGTAAAACTTAAGTTCCTAGTAACATTAGATATTTACATATTCTAAAAATCTTTAAAATGTAGTTGTCCCTTGGTATTCACAAGGAATGATTTCAGGACTCCCTGTGGATACCAAATTCCACACTGCTGAAAAGGCACACGTGCGCGCGCACACACACGCATGTATGTGACCACAGGCTGAATACACACACACACATGTGTACAGATCTGTGTGTGTAATTTTATAGTATTTTAAAAGAATCTTCCCCCTTTTATTTTAGTCAAAGAAACCATAATTTTCTATAGCTTTTTTTTTAAGGTGTATACACTATTTATTAACAGACACGGCCTACAGACTTATTTCTTCTTGGATACACCCACAGTACAGCCCCTACTGTCAGTGGTCTTGGTGTGCTGACCTCAAACTTGAAGGCCCCAAAAGTCACATAGCCCTCTGTGGGCACAGATCTTCTTCAGTTGCTCCAGGTCTTCACGGACCTTGTTGTCCAGACCATTGGCTAGAACCTGACAGTATTTCCCATCCTTCACATCTTTTTGTCTGTTCAAGAACCATTTTGGAATCTTGTATTGGCATGGGTTCTGCATAATGGTGTTCACACGCTCCTCCTCTCTGGCTACCCTCTTAGTGAGGTCAGTGTCAACTTCCCTCATCAGCACATGGGCATATCTTTGCCCTACACCCTTAATGGCAGTGATGGCAAAGGCTATTTTCCATCGCCCATCAATATTAGTGTTTAGTCCTGGCAAAATGTGCTGAACTTCTCTGGGATCACTAGAGACATGGTGGTGGCAGCAATGGTGGCATCTAGGCCTCCAGTGAACAGCAATTTTCTGTAGCTTTTAAACTCTTATATTAATTAAAAAAATATTGAATAGGGGTAGTTTATAATTTTAAACAATAAGTGAAATTTAAACAATGATTTCAAGAATTCTAAATATTCTATTAAAATTAACTTTTATCAAACACTAAAACTCATATAGTATTTTTATTTCTTTCAATTTTAGAATGAAATCTTAGAAATTGCTCTGGATCAGAAAGGACTTACTAATGACAGAAAAATTGCTTTCATTGATAAAAATAGAGATCTCTATATTACTGCAGTGAAGCGATTCGGGAAGGAGGAACAGATTATCAAGCTTGGTAAAAAAATACCTTTTACATGTTAATTTATGTTTTCTTAGGTCTGTATATATTATAAATTCGATTAGTTTGCTTACTTGAATGACTGTGATTAATGTTTTACTCTCATAATATTTATTAGTTACCCTCTATGAGGTAGATTGATTCAGTGACTGGGGTAATCGGGATGGGTGTGTCAGAGGCAGTGCGATTGGCACAGGATAGAGCAGGGTTTAGGGCTGTTGTACATAGGGTCGTTATGAGTCGCAGCGACTCGACGGCACATAACAACAACTGCATTTTGATAGCGTATCTTAAGGAAGCTGTGGTGGCCCAGTGGGTAAAGAGTTGTGTTGCCAACCCAAAGACAAGTGGATTGGATCTCCATGGGAGAAAACCAGGCAGTCTTCTGTAAGATTTACAGCCTCTAAAAACCCACTGTAAGGTAAGCTGTGAGTCGGTTCCAACTTGATGGTAGTGAAGGGCTTGGGTTTTTTTAGTAGCCATGGCAAGTAAATTGAGCCCCAGAAGGAGCTCTCGTGGCCTAGTGGTAAGAAGCTGCACTGCAATCCTGATGACATGCGATTTGAGTCCCCCAGCTTCTCCACCAGAGAAGGATGGGCAGTCTCCTCCCATGCAGTTAACTGCCTCTGAAAACCCTCTGAAGGGTCGGTTATGGGTTGGTTCCGACTTGATGGCACACAACAACAGCAGCTAAATTGTCATTGAAATGAGGTCTATAAATTAAAAATAAGCAGTTGTAGGCTTGATGGCACACAACAACAGCAGCTAAATTGTCATTGAAATGAGGTCTATAAATTAAAAATAAGCAGTTGTAGGTAGTGCATTGAAATGTTTCTTGAGGTCATACATGTTTGTTTTTTTTAAAATATGACCTCACCAATTATCAGAAAATAGAGTTCTATGTATCAGAAATTAGATTAAGGCCTTCTATGTCAGCTGACTTAAAAATATATTTTTAAAGATTGTAAGTTGGAATTAGTGCAATAACATTAACATTCTTTTTAAATTAAGGAACAATGGTGCATACATTGGCATGGAATGATACATGCAATATCCTTTGTGGACTTCAAGATACTCGATTTACAGTGTGGTACTACCCCAATACAGTTTATGTGGACAGAGACATTTTGCCCAAAACATTTTATGAAAGGGATGCAAGGTAACATTTATTGCATAGAATTCCATTTGTCATAGTAAATAAAAGTCTTTTTAAAGTCTCCCATGTTGTATCTTACTTAATGAACACTTTGTTGTTCTTTAGTGCTGCACAGTATTCCATTGTGTAGATTTACCACAATTGTTCTATTCATTTGTTCGTTCTTGAGTTCATGTTAATATTCCAGTTCCCCTTAGCAAAACTAAGACAAGAACTAAAATAAAATAATTTCTTTTTTAAAGTAATTAAACTAAAGAATAGATGTTGGCCTCTATACTTAAACTTTACCATTTTTCATTTATGAGAAAATAATCTTGGAGAGAAGATTAATTTTTATTTGTTTATATTTATACACTGAAAAGTTAAGGTGCTAAGTGATTTAATAATTTAAATTTATTTCCTTTAAAATTCAAGAAAAAAAATCCAGGTCATTTAAAATTGCTTTTCAGAATAACATTCACATATATATATATTTGCCACTTTAAACTATTTATTCCGTTTTCTCTTAGTGCATATAACAAAATAGATACAAATGTCTATTTGAAAATACATACGTGTGTGTTCACATTCATACTTAAGTGTGTGCATACATATGCATGCAAACACTTGTGCATATGCTGATGCACATGTACATTTTGGAGTTGTAGACTATATGTATGTAAAAGTTGCAAATAACAAATTTAATGTTTTGCATATTAATATTATTGCTCAAAAATATAATTTTAAATTGTACTTTGCACTTTTTCAACAGTGAATTCAGTAAAAATCCTCATATTGTGAGTTTTGTTGGGAATCAGGTAACTATAAGAAGAGCTGATGGTTCACTGATTCACATCAGCATATCACCATATCCTGCCATTCTCCATGAATATGTAAGCAGTTCAAAATGGGAAGATGCTGTAAGACTTTGCCGTTTTGTTAAGGTACTTACTTTACACTTCAGAACTCATAGTTGAGTATATGTGTGTGTATGTATGTGTAATATTTGCCATTGTGCAGGATGGAAAATCATAATGTGTAGATTACAACTAACAACAACAGTGGTCTCTGAGTGGCACAAATGAGTTGCACTCTGTTAACCTGAAGGCTAAAGAGCCCTGGTACTGTTACATGTTGGGCTGATAACAAAAGGTTCAGTAGGTCAAAGCTACTAAATCCTCTTTGGGAGAAATATGAGATAGTTTAACTTCAGTAAGGATTTATAGCCTCAAAAACTCAGTGGAGGTTCTGAATGAGTTGAGATTAACTTGATGACAGTGATGTTGGCTTTAGAGACTTAGGAGGGCTTGTTGTATTGGGCAAGTCTGCTGTCAAGGACAGCTCCAGGATTCTAAAGAGCAAGGATGTCAGTTTAAAGACTAAGGTGCACCTAATGTAAGCCATGATATTTGTAGTTGTTTCATATGCATCTGAAAGTTGAACAATAAAGATGTCAAGTTTGATGACTTTGAATTGTGGTGCTAAAGAAGAGTACTGAGTATCTCATGAACTGTCAAAAGAACAATCATGTCTGTTTTGGAGGAAGTGCAACTAGGGTGTGCCTTAGAGCCAAGAAACTTTATCTCACATACTTTGGACATGTTGTCAGGATGGGTAGTCCTTAGAAAAAAACATCATGCTGAGGAAGGTGGTGGTCGTGGTATGTGTCAGTTGATCAGAATTAACTCCTAGGTAGCTGACCCTCTAGGAGATTTTGAGAGGCTGTAAAGGTAAATGGTCTGAGAAAGAGAAGAATACCCCCAACAAGAAAGATTGACACAGTGATTGTAACAGTGGGCTTGGGCATGGCAGAGGATGGCAGGATAGGACAGGGTTCATATCTGTTGTTCAGTGGGTCAATTACAAGTCATAGCCAACTGGATAGCACCTAACAACAACAAAGGCTACTAGTTGGGACTCACCCAGCAGTACCACAGAGGAAAAGGCTTGGCAGCCTGCTCCTGTAAAGATCACAGCAAGAAAAGCCCACGAACAGTTCAGTTCTGTAACATGTAAGGTTGTTGTGGGTTGAAATAAACTAGGGCAATGACTTGTCGTCATTGTATTTTAGTTTTGTTATATTAGTTGAGAATACTTACAGCAGAATATATACTAATTCAGCACTTTCAACATATGTGATTCAGCAACACTGATGATGGGGGTGATTCCACCACCATTAAAATAAACTCATTACCCACTTGATTGCTGTCTAATCTTTCAAATTGCTGTTGTCTATTTGATTGTATACAGATAAATCTTTTAAAAAACCCCAAACAAACCTGAGTCTCAAGGCAGATTTTAGTTTTACTAGTTAAGCAAACATATTATTTACTTTAAGAAGATTTCAAGGTATATTCCTGGTTTAGGCCTTAAAAATTATCCCAGGGCAGTAAGCATTAGGGATTAAAAAAATACTATTGAGGATTAATTAATCCTCTATGGTTTCACTCTGTAGCCTATGAGGATTTCAAGTTCTGTTTTACATCTTCTCCATTTTGATCAAGATTCTGTATAAAAATATTCAGTAATAGTAGCTAGGAAAGCTCTTGCTCATGGAAGCTTTTACTCACACTCTGTATCCTCCATCAATAACTGACTCTCCTTCCCTTGTTGCTCCAGACAAACAAAGACCGATTGATTTTTACCTTCTATGACTCCTTGCAAGCCTTTAAGATATCAGGCACTATTCATGAACTAATTTAGTTGTTGTTGTTGTGTACCGTAGAGTTGGATCCAACCCATAGCTGACCCTCCAGTGGGTTTTCAGAGGCAGTTAATAGCATAGGAGGAGACTGCCCATCCTTGAGAATGATAATACCTTTTGAGAAACAAAGATAGGAGTGAGTGATAAAGAAGGAATGGTAGATACTTTTGTGTGGTTTATTTTTTAAAGGAGTTTTTCCCTTTAGGATCCTTAATAGTGCACTGGATAAGTGCCTGGCTGCTAACTAAAACTTGGTAGTTTGAACCTACCAACAATTCCTCATGAAAAAGACTTGAAGATCTGCTCTTCTCACAGCTTAAGAAAGTCTGTGGGGCAGTTTTGGACAGTCACTTAGAGTCAGTATGAGTTGGAATGAGTTTGATGGCACACAACAGCATCCGGTTAACCTTACTGGCATATAACAGTACTACTCTCTGGAACTTTTTTGATCTTGAGTCAGGTTCCCTAGATCTACCTCTCTAGAAATTCTAACTCATTAGATTTATTTGACAGAATTAGAGTTAAAAACTTCTGTTTTAGATGAGCATTTCTTAGCTTTTCCAGTATTTTCCAAATATGTTTTTCCACAGAATTCGAGTAAATTTTTTTAGAGTACACTTTTGTCAACTGAGTCTTAGATTTTTTATCTACCATAGAAAGTATTATCAGAAAACTTCATTATTCTCATTTACTCTAAATTATGTTCTTTGACCCTTTATCAAAAAGAAAGGAGACTTTATAACAAAAGCTGTTTTGAAAAAAGCAGTAATTCTGAATGCAAAATATATCTTTGATGAGTAATTACAGTAAATCTTATGTAAAGAAAGTTCTCTGTGTCCTTTTCCATATCATTAATAATATTTTTCAGTGTCACACACGGGTAATTTTTTTAGATTAACATATAATTTAATTGTGATTACTGTTAGGTGATATTGAGTCCGTTTTGACTCAGTGACCCCTGTAATAAGGTAGAACTACCCCATAGAATTTTCTAGCCTGTAATCTTTATAGGAGTGGATCACCGGGTTTCTCTCAGAAAGCCTCTTGATAAGTTCAGATTGCTATCCTTTGGATTAACAGTTGAGCATTTAATTTACAAATGGAAGGTTTTTTATTATTTTATTGTGGATATTTAAATAATTGTTTCTTTTAAAGCAACTTAGCGATATAGCTAGATCATGAAGACTGTTCTCATGTTTGACCTTAGGAACAAACCCTGTGGGCTTGCCTAGCTGCTATGTCAGTTGCTAATAGAGATATGACCACAGCAGAAATAGCCTACGCTGCAATTGGTGAAGTAAGTAATTAATATTTACGCCTGTGTATGTGTATGTGTATGTGTATGTGTTTTTATCTTAACATAATTTGTCCCATTTTTTTATTATCCACTTCAAATATTTTCCTTTTCTTTATTTAGATTGATAAGGTTCAGTACATTAAGTCCATAAAAAATCTTCCATCTAAAGAGTCAAAAATGGCCCACATCCTAATGTTCAGTGGAAACATACAAGAGGCTGAAGTAGTACTTCTTCAGGCTGGCCTTGTTTATCAAGCAATCCAAATCAATATTAATCTCTACAACTGGGAAAGGTAATAATAAAAGTGCTTTTTATCAGTTCTAAAACCTGATGACCTTAATGTTTTCTTCTACCTGCCATTCAGTAAATTATGATTTCATTGTGCTTGAGCATCCTAATGTTGTTGTTATGTGCCGTTGAGTTGCTTGCAACTAATAGCAACCCTATGAACAAGAGCCCTAAACCCTGTTCTATTCTGTGCCAACCTCATTGTCTCCAACACACCTGCTCCCACTATCCAATCACTGAATCGATCCATCTCATTGAGGGTCTTCCTCTCCTGTGCTGTCTCTTCACTCTCCCAAACATGATGTCCCTCTCCAAGAACTGGTCCCTCCTTGCAACATGCCCAAAGTATGTCAGACAAAGTTTTAGAATCCTTTCCTCCAAGGAGCATTCTGGCTTCACCCTCTTCAGGCCAAACCTGTTTGTTCTCCTAGCAGTCCATGATATATTCAGCACTATTCTCCAGCACCACAGCTCAAAGGCATCAATTCTCTTTCTATTATCCCTAATCACTGTCCAGCTCTCCGATGCATAGCACATAATTGAGAAGTCTATAGCCCGGATCAGGCACACTTTAGTCTCCAGCCTGATGTCGTTGCTCTTCAGTACTCTGGAGAGGTCCCTGACAGCTGACTTTCCCAATGCAATTCGTCTCCTGATTTCCTGGCTGCTGTTACCAAGAGTGT